GTGGGAGGGGACCTTGCATCCATGCAGCACAACACAAGAGGAATACAGGAGTCTGAAACTCTTGTCTCACACCTTCCAGCTATAAATGTAGCTGGGAATACAGGCTACAAATGAGCAGAATGGGAAAGCTGCTCAAAGGGTTATCTATTCGATGCAGAACTGCTTCAGAGCAGGTTTTCTCCAGGCAAGATGGGACAGTCAAATTTTCCACATTTCTGCAAGCATGGAAGGAAAGAGACCTGTTACACAGAAGCAGCTGAGGTGCTAAGATGACAGACAGGAGCAGCTTGACAGAAAAGGAGGAGGAGCTGTCAGACTAACTGTGATAAGGCCAAAATTGATTTAGCAATGGAAAATGCAGACACTGTAAGCTACAAGCCGTCTGCAGTAAAAAGCCTTACCCACTTTCGAGAAGCACACTGCAGAAATGCAATGATAACCCTGCTGCAACTGACTTTCTCCACTGCCACAGACACCTACTCACCAAAGTGACTACTCTCATCAACTGGGTGCCCAGTCCCGTTGGAGTGAGCCAAAAGTTTGGTTGTTTCAAGCCAGATGGACAACCAGCCTCAATAGAGGAATGTACCAGTACGATCCAGGTCATGAGGGGCCTCTGGAGGCCAGCTAACTCAAATTCCTGCTCAAAGCAACACTCTGCTGTGCACTGAGCTCCAGAAGAGCCTGTAAACTTGGACAAGCAGCACCCTGGGAGTGGGCAGAATCAAGGAGAAAGCACTTAAGGGATGAGCTGTTACAGCCCTTAGAAAGCTTCTGGTAACCATTTACAAGTGGCTGGCTGTAGATGAAAAAGTGTCTGAGTTGGCGTCACAGCTGAACAGTGTTCCCCCACAGCTCTGCTACATTAATCACCCTGCTGGCTGACTTATCTCTCTACATCAATTAAAGACACAACATAAATACTGGATTAAAAAGCTGCAGTCATGCTCACTGGTCCGTGTGTGATTTATCTGCAAGACGCATACAAGCCAGCCCAGAGATTTACTTTCACAGCACTGCTGACAAAAATTTCAGCATCCTGCTGCCTTACAAAGGAGAGCAAAATTTGGTTTTGGGAGACTATCTCACTTTTGGTTGCAGGAGAGGAGGGAGAATCACAAAGATGCCTTCCCTCCCTCCCCTTTCTTCTGTCATGTCCGGACTCAGTCCAAACCTTCCTGTCTCTCCTCCGTCAGCCAGGAGAGAAGCCCACATACGTGAGCATCCAGCAGTGCTTCAGAGAAGGATGCTGGCCCAATCCTGCTCCCTTCTCCACATCCCCCTCTCAAGACGTGGGCAGAGGCTTTGCCTGAGTGACAGTTTCCAGGCGGCATGCTGCAGCAGGGAGGATGGCAAGGAAGAACGATGCCTCCCCAGAGGCATCAATGCAAAGGCTGCCTTGGGGGCTGTACACTTGCACACACTGGTGGTGATCTGTCAGTTGCAGCTGAAGGAGCTGGTGCTGCAATGTCTTAACACTGAGCATCTAGACACAGCTCCACCTGTGCTGAACAGGGCCCAAAACATGCCCCATGTAACTCCAGCTCATACTGAACATCTTCAGAAAGCCATACTGAGATCAGATGCATGGTAGGGACAGCCAGGCATGCAGGAGAATGCTGGAACTCAGCAGTATACTCTTACACATTACAACAGGAGTTCCTGAGTCACTGAGGTCAAACATTCAACAGAGAGGCAGGGTATTGATACCATGCAAAGCCATCCAGTCAGTCTCCCCATGGTACCACCCAACAACATGCATCACTGATGCCCCCTGAGGGTATGTGTCCATCCTTTACAATAGCATTGGGGGGAAAAAAAAAAAAAAGCAAGCAACTGACAGTACTGCTTAGTAGATGATCCTGTTCCTAAGGGAGTCCAGGAAGCTTAGGCTTTCACAACAGCATCTCCTTTTTCTCTTGGCCTCTGAAATGTGCATTTTCACTTGGGTGCCTGGGATGCCTAGAATTTGTAAAGCAATGGAGCAAAATGACATTAATTAAAACTCAAGCAGAACCTGACAAATTCTCAGTAAACTAATCTGCACGCCTCAACAATCTCACCAAGAGTGCTCCAAGCTCAACAAATTTTTAATCACTAAAAAATATAGTGAAAAACTGCATTTACTAAGCACAGATGAGACTTAAAGCTTACACCCTAATCCATTTGCAAGAGTACCTGGAAATGGAGAATCAATAATAAAAACTGAAAAAAAAAAAAACATTTTTGCAGTTCACTTTTTGACTCTCCTATTGCTTCAAATCATCTCCTCTGCAACAACTTTGAAAGGAATTAAGCAGTTTCTCTGTCAAAGCTGGAAAATACATTTTACAGGAATCACTTCTTTTTGAGCTCAGTAATTTAACTGCAGCCTACAGCATCCAGAACATCTTAAAAGCTGAGAAAAAAAGTTAAATGTTGCCTCTTCACCTTTTAAAGCTATGCACTCTGTATTCACAAGAGGTTTGTTGTGCATATTCCAGGCTGCATTTGAAAAGCTCATACAGACAACCCCGCTCTGAAAGTCAAGCAGGGCCCATTTACAAACCTGAGCCCTATTTCTATTTCTGTTGCGTACTTTCTATGAAATGACACTATCTATAGCTGGGCAAGTTTTTTTCTCAAATATGCATTCAGCATCTCCCATATGTCTTTTTTCCCCTCTCAGCATGACCTCCCTCTCCACTGTTTGTTTTAAACCACCAGAGTATGACGAACAGCTGCAGGCTGTCCAGCTTTGTTCCTCCCCCCTCTCCCCCCATGAGCTCTTTACCTACCAGATATGATTAATTCAAACAATCCCCTCCAATAAGCACTATCACACAGTGAGTCTCCCAGTGCAGCACACTGCACTCTGTCCCTCTGGCTCTAGTAAAAGAAAGCATCTTTCTTCAGTAAAAGGACACATGCTCCACGATAATCACACATAACTTCTATAGCCATAGCACTAAACAAGCACGGACAGTTTCTATTCAGGACTGCAGTATTTACAGACATTGCCAAGGCTAGGTGCTGAACTCGTGATTCCTTGGACAGAGCAACCACACTCAGTGGCAAACTCCAAATGTGCACATCACACGCGTCTTGCAAACGTCACACATGGAATCAGTCCCATCTGGTTTCACTGCCAGGCTGCAACTGCAGGGATTAGCTGAGAGCATGTCATCTTGGTTACAGCCAACAGTGAGCACACAGGGAAAGCACGGTGGTCCTCAGTGGGGGAGGCAAGTCAAGTGGCACCTGTTAAGGTCCTTCTATTTTTGATTGCTCCCTTTTCAGTCCATGGAACCAGCAGTTCAATAAGCTAGACTAATTGATTTGGACACTTTGGGAAGTCTGGCAAAGTATGCATCCAATCAGACTGTAATTTTTCTTGATGTGTGACCCTACATTATTTGGGCTGAAAATACCATCACATTCCTAAATAGTCCTTATATTGATCTTGACATTTCTCTATACATTAAGAATTACATCCATCAGGACTGCTGCCCTGTGCCAGGCATAGCAAAAATACTTGCAATCAACATTTCTCAGCTGGCCTCAACTTCACCTCTCAAGATGCACTGTGAAAAGGGCCAGAATGGTTATACTATTCTGTATATAGCAAGGGTAAGGTGAAGAGGGAGAGACTTGTTTGAGCTCACCCAGCAAGACAGTATCAAATCAGAGATTAAAACTCAGAGTGTACAGTACCAGGCAAGCCTATGCTCTTGCTTCCATAAGGCAAGAGGTTCTGGGAAGCAGACAAATGATTTCTGCAACGTTTCTGTACTCAAGACTGCCGAATACTGCAAGGATCTGTGGGGCAAACAGGGTTTGGAAGCATGGAAAGCTCTACCCATGGCAGCCTCTCCCAGCCTCTACTACCTTCCAAAAGCCTGAAGCAGGATGTGATGGAACAGCAAGGTGAGCTGGCAACTGGCAGGTGAAGGGTAGGATGTGTCAGTCAGGCTGCCTTGTGCCAGCCTCCAGCACAGAGTAGCCAGGATTGCATCAAACCCTGGCTCTGAATGAGAACAGGTCAGTGCCATTCTCCAGTTGGCCCCAGCCTCTTCCACCTGTATATATCAGCTAAAGCAGAAAAATGAACAGCTGCGGACAATCCTTTCCTGAAGAGAAAAGGCAAAGTACTCTGTAACTATCACAGAAATTGCATACATCTGCACGTACCAACAAGAAAACTCCTGGAAAGTGGAGCATCAGGAGACAATGTATCATAAGGCTCTATATAGCAGCTAAGTGAGTGAGAGTGTATAGTTAAAAACTACACAGAGGCCCTTTGTTTTCAGAACACATTGGTAATGGCTGACATCTGCAGCAGCCACCACTGCAACCCAGCAGCTCATTCCAACTTGGTAATTCCTCATCTCCCTGACCACAGAGATAGAACAGGTTTGGACACCTCCCAGCCTGCTAACTCAGGAGAAGACTTTTTGCTTGGAAAGAAGCAAACAAATGATTCCAATGCTGTCATCCCAGCACTACCAGAGATTTCCAGGTTGCAGACCTTTGCATTTGTGGGTCCAGGGTAATTCAATAACAACAAGCAACAGTGGCTATTTACTACAGCACCCATTCCTAATTACCAGTACCAACATGCTCTGCATTGTCAGGAAACCACTGTTCCCAGTATCCTAGACTCTATCCAGCCCTCTGCAGCTGCCTGTTTGTACAAATTTCTCACAGCTACAGCTTATATTCACAATGCTGCAGCATTTGTCCAGTTATTTTTCCCACCCACCATGTAAATAAAGTGACAAGTGACTTGAGAGATGAAAGCCACATGCCGATGGGAGGAGATAAATGGGGAAGAGACAGAATATACGTCACAGCGCTCTACCCTTCTCCCAGCTCCTTTAGTAACAGAACACAGAAAAGTCCCGATGCTTCAATTGCTAAATGATAAAATAACAGAGCAAAGCAAAGCAGGAGCAAAGACATCTCCCACAATCTGCACAGAAACAGCAAAATATACAATAGAAAATGTCACTAACACCCCATTCAGGCAGATGCACTTATTTTTATGTATGACAGGTTTTGAGCTGGAAAAAATTTGACCACCGGTACTTTGCTGCATGGCTGTTCGCCTCGTTGTCATTTCCACCCTAAGTGACCTTCTGCTTAATGCTGGGTGTTTCTGGCCTGTAGTCCTTCCTCTCTGAGACATTGCGTTTCACCTTGGCACTAACTGGAGACTCCTGATTGAGCGACGTACTCGAGTGGGATTTCTTCAGTCCTGACGCATCGTTCTCTCCTCCACTCAGCAGCTCCTTCACCCCTTCTTTCAGGAGGCCAATGTAAATCTCATAGCGATTTTTCTGGGAAATGAAAAGAAAGGGCTGAATCAGTCTACGGCAAATTCTGCAGAAACATCTGAAAGATTATCTAGGTGACATAATGGCTTCAAGTTGCAAGTGATGTTGAAAGTAAGGAGTCTAATATGGGTATGAACAATGGTGGCTAATGTAAATTACACTGCGCAAAAAGGACTTTGATCAGGCTGTACTCAAGGAAATGCTGTGCAATTGAAAACACTCCGTTCTGCAGCATACAAATCCCAATCTGAATGGTGGCTTTCAGCAAGCTAGAATGCGTGGTTATTTCTGAGTAACATCACCAAGAAGGAGCTTTTTGACCTTAGGCACACTGAGTCACCTCATATATACTGAGACACTGTGTGCTCAAAGAAAACATAGAATTATAGAATCGCAAGATTGGAAACAACCTGCAAGATCATCTAGTCCAACCGTTCTCCCATTATCATTGCTACCACAAGCTGCTAAACCATACCTCGTACCTCTTCATCTGAATGCCTCTTGAACACTGCCAGGGACGGCGACTCCACCACCTCCCTGGGCAGCCATTCCAGTGCCTGACCACTCTCTGAGTGAGTATATCCTTATGTCTAACCTAAACCTCCTCTGGTACAACTTGTGGCCATTTCCTTGGGTCCTGTTTGTTGCCCTGTTTGTTGCCTGGGAGAAGAAGCCAAACCCCTCTTCACCACAACCTCCCTGCAGGAAGTTGTAGAGTGCAATGAGGTCTCCCCTGAGCCTCCTCTTCTCCAGACTGAACAACCCCAGCTCCCTCAGCCGCTCCTCATAAGACTTGTGCTCCAGACCCTTCACCAGTTTCATTGCCCTTCTCTGGACACACTCCAGGGCCTCAATGTTTTTTTTGTAGTGAGGAGCTGAAAACCAAATACAGTATCAAGGTGTGGCCTCACCAGGACAGAGCTGAGTACAGGGGGATGATCACCTCCCTGCTCCTGCAGGCCACACCATTTCTAATGCAGGCCAGGATGCCATTGTCCATCTTGGCCACCTGGGCACACTGCTGGCTCATGTTCAGCCAAGCATCAACCAACACCCCCAGGTCTCTTTCCTCTTCACAATCATCCAGCCACTCGTCCCCAAGCCTGTAGCGCTGCATGGGGTTGTTGTGGCCAAAGTGCAGGACCCGGCACTTGGCCTTGTTGAACCTCATCTCATTCACCTCAGCCCAGCGATCCAGCTTATCTGGAGGGGACGCTGAAGGGCCTCCTTACCCTCAGGCAGATCCACACCACCTCCCAACTTGGTGTCATCTGCAAACTTACTGAGGGTACACTCAATCCCTTCATCTAGGGCATCAATAAAGATATTAAACAAGATGGGCCCCAGTATCGACCTTGGGGGACACCACTTGTAATGTCATCAGCTTGAAATAGGTGTATACAGTGTGTGGCAAAATGAACTAAGGGACAACAAAAATCCCTACCTGTATGGCTACCGCTGTCTCCTGCAATCCTCCATTCCCATCAGTGGGTTCTGCTTTTCTGGCTTTAGTCCAAGGGGCAGAAACCAAAGCCCATTTAAGCTCAGACTCTACCAGCTTGGCCACCTTTGAGCACTTGAGAAGATGTCACACTTTGAGAAGGAGTAGATGAGAGAGCAGCAGGGCATATTCCCCTGACAGGACAACTCATGACAACAGTAAAAGCTGCTCTTTGTCCAAACATTTGCATTTTTGTTGGAAGAAGTTCGCTTTACCACTAACCATTCCTGCTTGCTCTGGATTCTCATCTGAAGTGAAGCTTCTCCTTTCAATGGCAAGCTTTTGTTCTGTTGTGACATCTTTCTGCACAGAACACCTTGGCAACCAACAAAATGAAGGTAGATTAACAGAAGGTCACTGCAAGGCCTCTAGCAGATTACCTGTGGCAGGAGGTGCTAAGAACTGATCAACCCATTTTTTGGCATTTGTTCAATAGCCTGACCCTGATGAAACTACTAAGGTTGTAAGCAAGCATTATAATCAAGGTGACCTCAGTGGGCTGCGGGTCAGAGAAGGAGGCTGTAAGCATTTTCACTGAAAACAGTTGCCAAACTTATGTTCCTGGTTAAGGAAAAAGCATTTAGTGAAAATTCTTCTAATTCGTAATAAAAATTCAGGTAATAATACCTATTTGAGGGCAGAAAGACTAAGAGAATGTGATAGTGTTTCCAGTGAGTCCTCTGAATAAACAAGACCTAATAGGCAGAATATACCTAAAAAGTAAATTAAGAAAAGGCATTCTTATAAATTCCATTTTTGGAGCTCCAGCTCCACAATGCGAAAGACAAACACATTAAGCAGATAAGATGTGTCATACAATATAAAAGGAAATGTAGAAACAGCAAGCAGAATTCAGACAATGCACTGGGCTGATGGATGATTCATTGCAAGATGCATGGGACATCGCTGCAAAAAAAGAAGCCAAGAAAGTGCTTCTAAGGCTAGTATCAGTGTAATATTCATCAAGGGTGAGGGAGACATTACCGCCATATGGAATTCTGCTTATTGTTGGTGCGCTGAACACCACTAGGGGACAAGGACTAGTTTCTGCCTCACACTTTCATCAGTGGCCATTTTGTGCTGGATGTTGTGTGCTTACCGTTTCTGTATAAATTAAGCAATGCATCTGGAAGCTTCTCATTTGATTTCAGCTCCAAACTTGCTCAATTAATGTTCTGACATTTGAAGCTAAGTATTCAATTTGGTGGAAATTTCCTTAAAAAAAAAAAAAATCTAGAAAATTCTGTCAAGAAAATAAGGTACAAAAATTAAAAATGGTTATCTCTGCAGCCTGAATGCATGTAAAGAAGAGATAAGGCAGCCATCCATCAAATTCCTAGCTTCACCTCTCACCTAACAGCACTCAGAAGGTGCCTTGCTCATATATTTGCCGTACTCAACAATCACAATCTGGAGTAGTACTTCTTCAGACAACAAGAAAAGAGAAAATGCTCTTTGCTTGGTTTCTACAAGCAAAGACACCAGGTAGGGAGAAATGCTTGAAGGCACATCCCTGAACAAGGAACAATCAATTCCTTGGTCACATCTTCTCACAAGGAAATGCCATATCAGGAACTACATCAGGAATAAGAATGACGGAAACTGAGGCAGTTGAATGAAGAAAAATTACAAGGGCCTAAAGAAAATAAATTTGGCTTCTTCCTCCCTAATGGGACTATATTGCTTCCTTGGGAACTAAGAGGTCCTTTCTGTAATTCTTCTGGGGATGTATCAGCCTAGCCCTTCGTACAGAGATGAAAGGTGTAGTCAGCCAGCAGGCTCTGCCTGAAAGAGACAAGTATAAAATATCTTCTTACCTGCCTCTTGCCATTTTGCAGGAACCTCATGTAGCAAGGTCTGCTACCAGTTCCTGCATGACAGTGACAACACTCTATTCTGAAGGAAAGCTGAGGAAATTCCAAAACTGATGGAAAGCTCCTGTTCTGCATGTTCAGATAGCTCACTTCTTTTTGTTTTCCCTACAAACTGTTGAACTAATTGTTCAATACTCCCTGTGAAATCTGTGTCAAATGCACGGGTAATACAGTATTACACAGAAACACCTTGAATCACCATCTTGCACACACAACTGAAGTCAGTACCTCCATTTGCCTGCTTAGACACACATTCTTGCAGTGCTGATCACACTTTTTAACTGTGCAGACTGAACCTGTTCAAGGCTCTCACTAGGGAAGAAGATATTTTTTGTTTCCTGTGGTATACTGGTTTTCCTTTGTACAAAGGTAACTGAGATATACTCCTCAAAAATATAATTGACAGAAAACACACACACACAAAAACCAACACAACCACCTTTTTATCCATCAGTCATTACAAATCATGATACACTACAGCCTAGTAGTGTATCATCATCAATACTCATCATGCTTCTAGAATCAATAGAAAATAAACCTTGAGTCAAGAGTCCCAACCCAAGCTACCTTTTGCCCTCCCAAGTTGCAAAACACTCCCATATAGGGAAAGTGTGTGGCTTGAGTGTGCACAACTGAGTGATGTGTTCAACACTGATCACAACTGTTTGACCATCAGCTTCCAAGCCACTTCACTGCCCACTTTCCCAGTCTACTCATTATCAGATTGTCTAAGGATGTTAGAGAAAGTAACATCAACATCTGTGTTAAAGTCGGGATGAACCATTTCCACTGCTCTCCAATTATCAAGCCAGACATATAATTGTAAAAGGCTATCGTGGTGATTAGGCATGATTTCTCCCTCATTAACAAAAACTGATTACTTTCTTGTCTTCAGTCCTTTTGGAAGGGCTATCCTGGAGAATGTACTCTACCAGCCTCTCCTGGATGGAGAAGAATCAGGCCAGCCCATAGTCTCTTGGGCCTTCCTCCTTGCTCTTCTTGAAATAGGAATGACATCGACTTTTCTCCAGTCCTCAGGAACCTCTCCTAGTCACCATGATTTTTCAGAGGTAATTGAGAATGGCCTCCCAATTACATCATTCATCTTCCTGAGAACTCCACTCATGGGTGAATCTCATCAGATTCCATGGACTTGTGTGCTATCCAGTTTATATCGCTTCCTAACTAGGTAAATCTGCCTTGCTCCAGATTTACTCACTCGGGTCCTTGCTCCAGACTTATTCACTAGGCTCAGGGACTTGCAATGAGTGAAGGTTGGTCTTACCAGTAGAGATCTAGACAAAGAAGATATTGACTACTTTGGCCTCTCTCTGTCCTCTGTGACCAGGTCTGCTGCTCCATTATAGGCTCCAGCTAGGACCCATATGTTCCCTGGCTGTTCTGCTGCTAAGGTGCCTATAGAAACCTTTCTTCTTGACCTTACTACATTTTTCCAAATTCAACTCCACACAGGTTTTGGCTTCCTTAAAACCAACAACACAAACTTGATATTTGATCAGTATCTCTATATTTCTATTACTACCGTTTCCACTTCCGCGTACTTCATTTGCAGGAGCAGCTTCTTCATTCACAAAGGCCTCTGCTACCTTTGGTTTCTTGCTTTTAAGTGTGGACCACTTCTGAGCTTGGAAGAGGTGATATTTAAAAACTGACCAGTTTTCCTGGAGCACTCTTCCCCTAAGGGCCGTATCCCATAGGATTCTTTCAAGCAGTTCATTGAATGGGCTTGAAGTGCACAGCTGTGATCTTATTCTTTGCTTTGACTTCTTACAGGATCATGAAGTCCACATCTCATAGCAACTTGCTGGCATGGTTGTCCGCAACCTTCATGTGCCTGAGTTCTTTTTTGTTCAGACAAAAGGTCCAGAGAAGTGTCTCCCTTGTCCGCTGCTTGATCATCGCATTAGGAAGTTTTTGCTGATGCACTCCAGAAACCTCCTGGATTGCTTGTGCCCTGCTGTGCTGTCTCTTATGTGGTAATAAGGTGGTCAAAATTCTGCAGGAGGACCAAGGCCTGCAAGCACAACTCTTCTTGCAGATCTTTGAAAGTGGCTTATCAGACAGACAACACAATGCCTGTCTTGCTCCATATGCTAATACTGATCCACAAACTCTCAGCAAAGCTGAGTGTGAGTGAGCAGCAAAATCACATAAAAGATTATTTTCATTGTACTTGTCCTTCCTAAAAAGCCTGTATCCATTCATGGCAGCATTCCCATTGTCTGAACTACCCTATTGAATCTCTGCAGTCTCAATGAGATTGTAGCCCTGCAACAGCACAGACCTCTAACTCCTTCTGCTTGCCCAAGAATGGTATGAAAGCTTTCCTTATAATGTTGTTGTATGAGCACTTCCTTAATTATATGCTATGTGTGAGATGACTGCTTTAGTTCTCTTTTATTGATGATGAAGTCTCTCTTGTTCACATCACTGTGTACCCTTTGCTTATCAGCCACTTCCTCATTTGATTGTTGGTCAGATCATTTCAGATATGTGGGATGTAGAAAAGCAAACTGGCCAGCCACACTCCTTGAACAAAATATCTCAAACTCACCATATGCAATGACACCAACGCAGTGCTACAGTAAAGTCTCATCACTCTGGACAACACATGGCTTTGCAACATGAGACAGCTCCTGCCTAAAAAGCTCGTCATGTTTTCAGAAAGATAAGAGAGGCAAAAAGGGTCACATTTTTCCATTTTACAGATAAGGAGCTAAGCCCACAGCCAAGGTCACAGGAAGTCTTTATCAAAAGAAGGACCTACATCCAGACTTCTGGGATTGTTGTGACTTTTTTGTTGAGAAAGAACATCATCCTTACTGGAATAAGGTGAAAATTGAAGAAATACAGGATTATATCAGAAGTATAAAACCACCTCATCCATACACAAAAAGTAGAAACAATAAAGTTTCCCATCCATACCTCAAATTCCAGATAGTGGTCCTTCAGTTTGTAATCATCTACTTCCTTGCCTTTGAGCTTCTTGTCAGGAGGATAGGAGCGATGTTCAGCAAGTTCAGTGGAGATCTGCTTCAGCTTAGCTTCATGGGATTTCAGCTGTTCATCCTTCAGAAACACATTAGTCACATAAATTATAGAATCTAAAATATTCAATAAGTAAAGGAAAGTAAAAAGAGAACTTTTGCTCTATCTTAACTAATCTTAATTAGATTGATCAGACCTGTTTTCCCAAAGCTATGTCCCCAACAGCATTCTCAAAGGCATCCAAGTAAAGTGGCCAACTTTGCAGAAAAACTCAGCAGTGAGCAGATGCCACTGGGAAGGATAGCAAACTTGTCATCCCTTGCCTTGCTGAGAGCAACGGAAGCAGCTTGCTGTAGAGCGTTACTGACAACATGACACTTCTGCTCTAATACATTTTTTGGCAAATTAATTAAGGCTGTTACATGGAGTCAGACCAAGGGCAAAATGAGAAAAGCAAAGACCCTGCCTCAGGTCTTTGCAATATTTAGGCAGTTTTTTTCCAGGACAGAAAGGACATGGAATCAGAGCCTTCCTTACATTTTCACACTACCAAATGCTCTCCAGTCTGTGGCTTCCATTTGTCAGAACAATGCAATGCATCCAGAAGAAGAGGGGCTCCCATCTCCTAAAAAGTTATCTCATTTTGCTAAGCTGCTACTAGCGCTTATCCCACTGTGCAGTTGGAAAGAGTGAGGAGCTGCTACCCTCTCCTTTCTAATTTCCTTTATCATAATCCCAGGCCCACTCACTTCCTCCAGTCCATCTGTCAGCTAACCTTCCCTCAGCTCAGAAGGTTTCCAGCTCCTGCTGCATGGCCTTCTGGACATCTATATGCTTGGATTTAAAACTATGTTTGATTTAGGTAAATCCAAAATATAGATACTACTGTGCAGACCTTAATGATATAGTCAGTCATAACAGCAGGTAACACCTAGCTCAGTTACCAGACACTTACCTAGCCTCAGAAGAGAGGACTGCTGCCAATAGTGTCCTAGTGGTGTGGATGCACAGCCTGCAGCTTCAAGCCTATCTCAGACATATATGCAATGCACTATGAGTAACACCAAGGACTAAGACTTTCAGCTCACATAATTTGAGCTGCAGAAAAGAGCAGAAAGGGGAAAAACTTCTACATGGAATGATAGCCGAGCCCCAGCTAATCTTGTGTTTCACTTTTTTATTTTCCGAGAGGACTGCAGAAGAAAATAAGTGGGATAATTTGCCTTCGCTTATACATGGGTGGGCTCAAACTGATCCCTAATGGCTTCCAGAAATTGTTGTTGCTACTAGGAACTATCATGAATCCACTGTTCTTTCCATAAGTGTCTAAACACACTTTCTGCTAAATTGCTGGTCTCAGGGACATCCCATTGCAGCGGGTTCTCTACTCTGATAACAGGAGGTCTTCGAGAAGCTCTTAATTTGGCAATTGTAATTTCCAGGGTAGCAGCCCTTTGGTGTATTTGTGTACATATTCACACCTCCAGAAAAAAAGGAAAACAAAGTTACCAAATCCTTTCTACACTGGTGTTCCTTTATACGCAGTTTTGTCACATCCCTCCAGGCTAACTGAGATCAGAATTAAAAGCAAACTTAATACAATGATTGCATGGAAATTATCATGTCCATCCTCCCTCCCTCAGCCATGTTACATTCCCACTGCATCTTCTGCCTGACCAGGAAGAGGCCCCTTGAAGAAGTACTGTGCATCATGATTCAGCCCACAGAATCCTAAACAGCAACCAGAGGGATTTGACAATTCATATTTTTGTGTCTGCCAAATAAGAAGCAGCCCGCTGGCAGCTTTTCCACACTGACAGATAAAAGCAGACATGCTTCTGCTTGTCTTTGAATTTATCTGCTTTGAACACTTAACATTCTTCTGCCGTTAGCAAAAACAGCTTATCTTATTCCACTTTTTATGCCTCCTTTTCTTCAAGACACAAACCACAGGGCTGTGTTCTATTTTATCTCTTTCCAGATTAAATAGAAACAGTGAGACTGGGAAACAATGTGGTAAATGGAACAATCACACAGAACAATGAGTAAAAATGCTTTTTCTGTGTGTCTGGGGGAAAATTATTGAAACCCCAGATAGTATATATAAAAAAGTATGCATGAGCAAAAGGACAAGTTATTATTATCCTGTATGAGACATGATTTAAACTTTAACCCAGAATAGAAGATGGAAAGTCGGTCACCACATCGTAAGAAGAAAGGCTACTGCCACAGAGCAGGAAAAAGCAGGGGCGACATTAAAAAAAAAAAAACCCTTAGAGAAATGCAGATTATGAGATAATGGTTTCTAGGGAGTGTTGCTAGGCTATGAAGATGGCAAAAAATGCATTTAAGCAGCAATCCAGCATGAGGAGATGACTTAAAAAGTTATAGCAGCTTACTCATAAAATTATATACCAACAATTGGGATCTCTCCCTTCTGCCTCCTGATCAGTGCAATCAGTAGCAGGTTCCTGCCAATGCAAGAGAAATTGCAGGCATGTATCATATCAAAGTGCAGGTGCTACAGGTGCAAGCATCAGGCACAGCCAGGTTGAAAGGAGATGTTTGTTCACGCAAGAAGTATCAGAGCTGTGAAACTCCCCGACACAGGTTGTTGCAGAAGGTAAAAGCTTATATAATCATATGGGAAGACCAAGAATGTTCATGTAACAGTTAACAAACATGTAAAAAGAATTTCCTCAGCTGATAAGGACCTCCAGAAAAGTACTAGAGGAGAAATAAAATTGATACTTGCTTGATGAATCAGCTTTCACCCTTTACCATCCCAATAATCCAAATAATCAGGAATATGTTTATTTCCTTTGAAATCAGTGGTAATAAACACATTCATAAAAATAACACTAGTTTGATGGTATTTGAAATGTCCTCTATATTCATGGGATGAAAATCCTATATCTCGTACTGGTTACACTAGTGACTCTTTCTTTTCATGACAAATATAAAGGAATTATATTCAAGTATGTTCCCTCAGAGAATCATAGAATTGTTTGAGTTGGGAAGGACTTTTAGAGGTCACCTAGTCCAACTCTTCTGCAAAGAACAAGGATATCTGCAGGTTGATCAGGTTGCTCAGAGCCCTGTCCTGCCTGACCTTGACTGTCTCCAGACATAGGGATTCAAACAACTATGACGAGTCATAGACACCACAGGTCATGTTTGAACCACGACTTCCCCTGCTTGTCGAAAGGCTCCAGATAGCACCATATCTCAAACTGTCCCTCTATGCCTAGACAAAGGGAATAAGGAGCAGCACTCAGTAGTGTTTTCTGATTTTCTCTTTGGACTGGGGAGCAAAAAGCTTTTCCAATGTCCTCTTTGGGCCAACTTAATTCTTCTTTCTCTCTACTTAGAATCTTGACTCAGGAAACAAACAGATGTACCTTCCTAGCAGATGTTCTATTTTTCCTAGAAATACTAGTGTTGACAGGAGCAAAACAATGTTACGGACCACTTTCCAGACCCCCACCAGTCAAGAACAATCTCCATTACCAACCCTCTAGACAACAACTCACCTGAGATAGCTTTGTTGTGGTGGCTGGCAGGGGTGGGCGACTGAACTTCTTCTGGGAACCAATTGCTGCTGGAAATGGTGGTGCAGAGAAGACAGCTGCCACACAGTTAATCTTGTTGATCCAGGTCTGCATTTCTTCTTGGCTCCTGGGGGAAAAAACACATATCAAGCACTTGTTGACTCAGCCTCCTCTCCCTCTTTCCCACCCTTCCACTGGCACTTTCAAAGTGAGAGTAAGAAGGGTTGAAGAAGTTTTAGAGTCTGCTGAGTCTTCTGGCTTTTGAGAGCAGTTAGTTTCAGATGCCTCATTCACAGGTTAGCTCATGAGTAAGTCCATAACTCACCCTAGCAAGCATCTTTTCCTATTCCAAACCAAGTGCAACAAGAAACAGAGCCAGCCAACACCCTGATTCAGACATTTGTCTAAAAATCTCATCTGTTCTGCAGCCTGATCTCCTACCATCTCTAGGAGGTTCCATGTGGATCTTGGTAGATAAGGGCTAATGCAAAAAACCTGTGCATCAGTTTTCAATGCCAGAAACCAAAAGAAGGTCATCTGTTCTGTCTGCATGTCACAGCCTGAAGAGCTTAATCAAATTATTCTTGTATTAAGTACTAACTTTGTTTCTAAGCGAAGTGTATCTTCTAGAAAGATATCCGGCTAAGTCCTGATGACATCAGGAGACAGAATGCAAGACTGCCTTCGGTCATCTGTTAAAATGATTAATCACTCTGACTCTTCAAAGTTTGTGCCCTGTTTCCAAATTGAATTTCCTGCAGCTTCAGCTTCCAGCTGCTGCATCTTGTTATGCCTTTCTCAGCTAGATTAAAAAGCCTCTTAAAATCTGATATTTCTTTCTCATGAACTACTTGTGCACTCTAATCATATCACTACTTAATCTTATTTCTAATCATATAAACAGATTGAACCTTTTAAGCCTCTGCTTTAACCTGTCCAGGCATGAATTTAACCCTCCTTTAGAACTGCCTTCTTCCCTCAACTATTGGCACAAATCAGAAGAGAGCACTTACTGGGCTTGAAAAAGCAGGACACTCCAATCTGCTGTTTTAAGCTTGAGGACATTGGGTTTCTTCTCATAGTCTGTTGCCTTGGATGCCAGTGCATGATGCACACTAACTGCATTCTTCAGATCTTCCTCCGACAAAGCCTTTTCTGGCTTGTACTCATCCTACAGAAATTAGCAAAGAAAAATGACATCTTATTTCTCCATGTGCTACTCCTTTTTCCTTAATCTAAAGAAAAACCTTGTTGCATAGTGATGAAAGTGATGAAAAGCATTATTAAAGTATGTAGTCTCTTTGAAACGAAGAGAAGTAATTCCAAATCAGCAGTGGACTATTTGTCCTCACTTCAAGAATCCTTCACAGCCAGCTTTCCACCTCCACTACTCAACTACTTACTCCTCCTGCTGAAGTTCTCAATTTCCACAGCTCTACTTGTCCTTAACAGTGTAGAAGTCACCCTACCAATCTCCACAAAGCAAATACAGCAACATTCTTTAAATCTCTCTTTTGCCACGATGCTAGAGAGAAAACCTAGCAATGGCTAGTCTGTCAACACACTAACAGCCTTAAGGATCCAGCACCATCACACAGTTCCTTTGCATATTTTCTTCAATCTATATCTATCTTTAGTTTTTATTAAAGGAAAAAAAAAAAAAAAAAAAAAAAAGAATCCCTGGGGTTACCGGAGCAGCTTCTAGTTACACCGCATTACACAATCTCTTTGGAAGCATAGAGCTGTATGACCCATAGGAGGGAATACCTTCTCCGAGCATGGTCTGCAAATGGCAAGCACAGGATTGTTCAGGTTTGCAACATGGTACCACTACCAGCAAATAATAAAAACAGTGAGTCAAACTTCTCTGCGTTGCAGTTGTCTGCTGGGAGCAGCGTTTGATCTCCTGAGCAACAGGAAGTGGGCAAGTGCACAATAATTGCGTTGCCAGAAGTTCAATTTAAAGCACACTCCACTACAAATGGCTTTCTGAATATAAGAAAAGCCAGAAACTTCTTAAGGAAAAGTTAATCACCAGCAGTCTTGTACAAAGTTACTCAAAGAAAGCACTCAGCAACTGATTCTACATCTTTCCTTTGAAATGACTATGACTTCACCAGAAATCAGTGTCACCTGAAGCATCCATTAAGGGAGCTAGTATGATGGCCACAAAACAGAAGAGTAATTCCCTGCAGGTATCATAACTATTGATCCCTTCACTTGAACATAAGAGTTATGAGATGGTGTTTAGTGGACAACAGAGTACAGGACGCAAATCATACAGAAGGGACAGCATTAGCTTAAACAGCCAGCAAGGTATTTCTCTTGGAGAAAAGCTGCTTAAGATGCACCTTTTGAATTAGTGAATTAATTACATGGTTTATCTGCTGGTATAAGACAGGAGCTTCAACGGCTGAGGTCATCTGTGCTCTCATCAGTGAGGCTGGGTTTGTCTGGGGCTCCCCAGGATGAGTTGCAGGGAAAGACAGGTTACCACCTATGGTGACCACCATTTCTCAGAAGGGAGGGCAAAAATTCCCACTACTCTGCCAGCTTCCAGGCTAGTCCAGCAGCAGTAGGCCCAGAACCTGCTGCTGGTTAGACACTTCACCAGTAAGGCAGGGAAGAAGCAGCAGCTAAGCAGCAATATCATCACAATCAACAGCTCCAACTGTGTCAAGGCAAGAGCACAAAACCCACCACAGAGCTGTGGCAGAACAATCAGAAAGGCAGAGAACTGCTGCACTGATGTCCAAAGGTAGCCTTCAGCCTAATCACCTGTGACATAAGGAGTCTGCAATGCCTGACAGCGAGCTAAGGCAAATGCTTCTTTGCTCTCCTGGCTATAGGTCCTGCCAAGTCCCAGCAAGCACTGGATAGACTTTCCTGTCATGAGGTACTCTGCCTACTCCCACTCAGGACACTCTCTACCCCTTCTTCAAGGCAAATTTGTGAAGGTGTCTAGCTAAAGGGCAAGAACTAGAGAAGGCTGGCTAACATCTTGCCCAGTTCTATCTTGATGAAGGAAGCGAGCCTCCACCTTCAAAGGTAGAAAAGTTGATTTCTTTGATGGTTGCTCTGGAGGAAATGACTGGCTCCACTATCCAGGGAATGAGAAAAAAAAATCAAGGCCAGGAAATGAACTTAGACCTCAGAAGAATGATATTCTGGTTTTCCTCAAATTATGCCTTGAGACAGTGCCAGCTACCACCATGCTTGGTTCCTCTCAGCTTTCTGTAAGATGTATCCAATGGTCACAACTTACTCTGGTGTCTAAATCTGTTCCAGAACAACTCCATATTTGGGCAGTCCCAGAAGTGGTACTGACTCAGAGCCCCTCCTTACTGACAGAGAGTTTTCATTATAATCCTTGCTAATTCCACTGGATCAGCTGGTTGCACTCTACCTTGACAGATGGGTCCCTAGCAGCTTCTCCAAAAGCAGTCATCAGCATACCACCAATGTCTACCAGTAGTTGACCAGCCTAAGAGAAAACTGAAGGGACATGAATGTGCTGTCAGAATTCTTCCTTTAAGGCATTCAACTCTTCTTAACTGGCAAGCAATGCTAGGGGCAAAGGAACATCCATATTTCATATGCCACCAAGGACAGCACGTGTGCGAGCATCAGTGTGGAGGTGGAACAGCAATGAAAGGCAGCTCACTAAAGTTAGACCAAGTCAGTGGCAAGAAATACATAAGGAACCAGAAAGGAAATGTGACCTCAATACCAACTGAAGTCTGCTGTGAATGCTGCATACAAAGTAATTACATGCTGAATTCATCTTTCTCAGACTCCTAACAAATGACTTTTCTACACTCTGGTGACCCAGTTTCTACATGGACACACATTCCTGCATCCATTTCTGATAGACCCAACTACAGCAATCAGCTTTTTATCAGCCAAGGTACCTCTGGTCAACTCACATAATGGATGCAAAATCCTTTCAGAAAATTTTGTGTCCGATCACTTCACACTCTTATAGCCTTTCCCTTTTATTTTTATTTTTTTATTTTTTTTGTAAATTTTGACAAAGGAAACATACTTGAGAATAACTACATAAAAATACCTGAAATCCCACAAGATTATAAAGTATCACATCAAAGAGTGAAGATTTTGCAAACCTCAGAGCAGAATCAAAACACAAGGCCCATGTCCTGCGCTGCCTGCTCATATGCAATTTCTATCAAGGAAGTGAGGGCAGCCTTTTCTCCTCTCCTTATAAGCCTCTTTTCTGTACACACATCACATCCCATGTCTGTCTAACGAAGAGACATTCTGTCAAGATCCCACTCTGCAATTTCCTCTTGCTATAAACAGAGGGCAGGAAATTAGACTTGGCCTGAGGATGTCCAGAGTCAGGGCCAACAGCCGAAACATGTCAAACCTCTAATTTCATATAATATTGTGCAGGCATGTTTAGTTGGCTAATTGTGAATGCTTCCACCAAGCCCCTCCAGTGGCCTCTGTGCTTGCTAATTCAGAAACTCTCTCTCTCTCAAATCACTCATTAAAAAATAAAACAATATGCAGCACAGTAATTAGCACTGGAGCTGTTCCAATGAAACAAAAAATAAAAAAATAAAAAATGGGCACAGAGACAAGATTGCCCAGATAAACTTCCCTGTAAATCTCAAATGACCGCCGTTTAGGAACCACTCTATAGTCTTTGACAGCAAACTAAGAAGAATTAGTCCGCTATGCAAACAGAATGGGAAGAGAATTGGGATCACGCTACCCACTGGGAGAATCACAGCTGTTACAAACTATTAATGTTTATATTAGAATAATGTCTTGAGGGAACAGCTGAGTTACAGATGAGCACAGAAAGCAACAGTGCATAGGCCTGTACATTTATTTGTGGGCATACAGTACCTAGAACAGTGAGATTTCTCTCTCCTCTGCTTGAATAGCACTCGGTGCAATGAAACTATCATCACAGCTTTTTCCTCCACAAATATACAGATAATGAGAGACAGAGGGAAATCTTGTAAATGCATATGGGTATGCATCCTGCCCTGCAGCACTGCATAATTAGGAGAAAAGGGAAACAGAGAGAAGGAAATCCCGTGCCCATAACTACTACCGCAGTTCTTCATTTCTACACAGAAATCAAGCTGCTCTAAAATCCTCCTCAACTTTATGAAATTGGGATGAAATTTCTGTCTCCCAGTATATTGCAGAAGGAAGCAACAATTCATCAACACTTACTACCTCTAAACTTGGTCGAGCCATACATTTTAAAACCCTACCATTACCAACTTCCTCAATAGCATGTTCCTAACAATGCAAGGTTTATTTCAGGGCTGGAGCAAAGCCCTGCTGGACCTTCTGGAGCTGAAGAGAAATCAGAGGATGTTTCACTGCTGCTGCATGAAGCACTGCTGTTGAGCAGGGGTCACAGGCACCCTCGGGAGGCTTGTAGCTGCCCTATCACTCAGGGAGTGAGTCACTTCCCATCAGACCTCTCTGTCAACCTTTCTAGCGCTGAATTAAAAGTCTAGCTTGTCACTTGCTTCAGCTTCAGTGAAAGCGGATTCAGGGCTATGTGGGAGAGCACTACTTTGCAGAATAACCATCTTGTAATCACTGAATTCAAGTGCCATGACAAATGCAAGATACACAACTGAAAAACAAATAAGAACAAGAACTCCACCAATGTATTTGTTCTGCAAAAGTTAGCCAGATGTGAAATCACTCTCACGCTTACCAAGAGATGGAGGGTGACAGTGGGGAGAGCAACCTTCTGCAGAAAATCTGCGTGATACATCAGCATCTGTAAATTTTGTCTAAGTGTTTTTAACTAATATTACAGTGACACTTACAGAAGTTTTCAATTAAGACTCTAAAACAGATAGCACCTCCACTTCTTCCCCTTGAAAGCTTATTAAATTTCCCTCAAGGATCAAATAAAAAATTAATTCATATGCTATGGACAGGAACCTTCTTACTTCTTAGGGAACCATCCAGACTTTTCAGATAAATGCTAAACATGACTCATTTCAGAAATCAAAGCAGCTGACTGCAATTCACTCAAGAAAGTGAAAAGGCAAGCCTGCCATATAGACGATTTTAATAAAATCTGAAGCTGCTACCAGGAAAAGAACCAGAGGGAAGGCTTAGCTGCAGTTCAGGACGCTTGGTTCTAGTCTCTCAAACTGGCTTTGGAGCATGTAACATACTTTCAAACCTTTTCTCCTGCCTCCAGATTTTTTGTCTGCTTCGGCACTTCAGCCCTGTCAAACAGGAACTGAGCACAGACCAGCCACCTCATAAGCCCTGTGCTGTAAGAAATGGATCCAAGCCATTCTCATTTTTCTTGAAGACCATATACCATGCTGCCTCTGAAGAAAACGATAACTTCAGAAACCCAGAACAAAGAAGGAGGAAATAACAGTATGCACTTGCACTCAGCTGCAAAACACAGTGGAAATGCAGAAACACTTTCAGTAGAGCATATTTCTACAATGCAGAGCAACCTGGACAGAAATCACCTATACCAAGAACATTACACTTATGGCAGGAGACACAAAGGCTTCAAATCTACAAACTGACAAAATTTGATTCTCTCAGTTCTTGCTCATATATTCCATCTCACTTTCCAAGAGAAGTTTTAGTTTAAAAAAGCTTATAGTTAAAGCTGTATTACAATCAAGCTTGCGCCAAAAGACTTGAAGAATTTGAGCTGACGTTTTTTTTAGACTTCTTGCTGGCAGAGAGTAAAATTTTTTTAGAAATAAGTGTTTCTATCCTGCTTTGGAAAAAAAATGGTATCCTCCAATTCTGCTATGGAGCATAAGCTGCAGATTCCTACCAAGATCAAGCTGCTGTTAGACTGTTTTGCAGCTGCTCTTGCAGTCACTGCAGAAAAGTATACTATGAAAAGACTGGAAAGAGGACAGCCTTATGGGAGGTGAAGTCATACATATCAACTGCAGTGTTAAAAGCAGACCAGAGGAATCTGTGCAAGACACAGAGAGATGATGCTGTCTTTGCTTGTGAAGCCAGCTATTTTGTCAGCCATGAGTGACAGTGATGGCATAAACTGGAATTGACAGGGTGCACATCTGGATAGTGACAACTAGACTGAATTTGAAACTGAGGAATGGAGGAGCATGATAATGAAAGAATTCACATCTCAGTGTGTGTGTAAACAGGGTGAGGCACAAAGAGAGCAGATACACTGCTGGTCAGAGAGAAAGGAACCTGGAGATGGGTCATGAGAGTGGAGAGGATGCCTGCTGCTTTATCTCCCTTTAATAAGTTTCCAAAAGATAGTGATTTCTCCTACCTTCTGCAAGTACAAGACTGTTCCCTTCAGCACAGCATAAAAGGTTTTCCAGCCTCGCTTTCCCCAGGGAGCTGCAAAGAAAACAAATGAAAACCCATTTAACTCAGATCCATTTTTACACTTTGTCTAGGCAACAGAAGAGTTAGATTAGTCCCGTGTTACACCTCCTTTGTACTCTTCTTTTCAAAGGACAATGCAACTCAGCACAGTGCCTGCACAGTGCCTGAAAATACCTGCTGTGAGGTAGAGTAATAAAACAACCCTGAAGACAGCACTGGACTGGATCAGAAGGGAACAGGAGCAATGCAGAAAGCAGGCCAGAGAGATCTGGTCTTTCTGCTCTGGCACTGACACTGCCCCTGTACTGTTAGGTCTGAGCTCTGTACAGTGATGTTTTTAGTAGGAAACACCCTTTCTCCATGTCAAAACAGGTCGCAGCCACTGCTGAGAATCAGTGTGACATTGCCCAAAAAGCACTGCCTCCCAAGAGCATCCTTCCTTTTTGCAACTGCTGTTCACCCAAGCGGGCACTGAGTGGTCAGATGCCTGCTTCATTCCATCCCTTCTTTCCACAGTTGTTGTGGAAGCCAAAGGGGAAGCAGAGAGGAGCAAAATCAAAAATCACCTCTCTAGAATCCTAAAGTAACACTGAAGAGCATCACAAAAGCAACACATCCAACCCACAAATCCCTAAGAACAAGAATGAGAGGAAAAAAAAAAGAGAGAGTTGCAGGGAGATAAAATATGAAAGTCCAGTCTGAAATTCAGCTGTGGTACAGGGAAAGAAGGCATGTGTCACAGAGACAGAGACCAGAACCATGCATCAACATTCACTCTCCACCAAGTACACACCAGTGACCAACATCCACTTGTATACATAATATATACTGCCAATTAAGTTTGTACATGACTAAAGCATCACCCTCAAAGAAGCATCCCATTCTGATCTGACCAAGTGGCAGTGAAAAAGTTATTAGTCACTTGCTCCAGAAGTTAATCACTTGCATCTCAAATAGTGGGCATTATTCCTACTTGTATTATGCAACAACAGAATTTCACTTTAAAAATCTCTACATAAATTAAGCTCTACTGAATTACAAGTGAATATCCAAGTGTGCTAGGATAATTTTAAAGACAGAAGGTGCTGCTGCAAGCATCCTGGTTAGGGAGATTTCTCACATTTTCATAAAACTATATCACAGAATAGCTTGGTTTGGAAGGGACCTTAAAGCCCACCCAGCCCCAACCCCATGCTGTGGGCAGGACTGCCCCCCAGCAGCTCAGCTGCCCAGGTCCCCATCCAACCTGGCCTTGATCGTGTCCAGGGATGGGGCACCACAGCTTCTCTGGGTAGCTGTGCCAGGGCCTCACTGCCCACCTGTTCATCTTGCATGTGCCTTAACACAGCTTCTAGATCTGTTCTGTGATATTTTCAGGTCCAAGGATAAGGCTTACAGGCCTGTAATTTCCCAGGACCTCCTCTCTACAACTGGCTTTTACTCATTAAAGGATTATCTCAAAAATGCCAACATTCAATGAGCTGAATAAAGAGTGATTCTGAATATTTGTAATTAAACAAATTAATCATGGCAACCATCTACAATTATTTATTAAGGTTAAATAAACAGAAATTTAATAAAGAAGAACCTACTCAAAACATCCACTCATCACAAAGAATGAGGTCAGACTGATTATATCACCACCACTTGAATTCAGCTGTACTAGCTTCCAGGTTGAAAACAGAGTCCTTCAAATGTACTTTCTAAAATACACTAGCACAACATGAAAATGCAAAACCATTTAGTTTAACTAGATAGGCTTGCAGTTACTGAAAACTAATCACAAAGTCAGCTTTTCAGGATTCACCCAGCAGTATGAACCATTATTAGCTGATCTTCAACAATAAATGGGAAAAATATAGGTGTCCTGACTACCCTCTGCTGTTTCTAAGACTCTTAGTGGAAAGCAAGCAACTTGAAGATACCCAAGCAGCAAAATGCATGCAGGCAAATCAAAGACCTGTGATAATTAGTGCTCCAAGAATGGAAGTAGGACAAGAAGGAAAAAGGTTAATTAAAAGTAAATAAGAAACACAGCAGGATTATTACAAAGAATATTTACAAAGATTATTTATGAAACTGCATGGCATAATTCTTGTTGTTACCAAACACCGCTGGACTTGAGAGATATGTGACCCAAGAGCAGGAAAGCAGGGAACACTTATAGGATCTTCCAAGCAGAGATGAACAACCTTTTTTTAAAGACAGAAGTAGAAGGGAGGGGAGATTTGAAACAACCTGGTACCACACAAGGAAAAGGAGAATTACCACAACACTATTGAATAGCTGTAATTCACTTGAAATTGTTTTCTCTTCTATAAACCATGAGATTCATTTTCTTTGAGCACAAAAGATTCACGCTGCTTTGCTGTACCACATTACTCACTAGGCACATGCATTAGAGCTGATGCAAATGGAACTGAACATTGTAAATCCTGGCCTGATAGTAAGAGTGTGATAATCCAATTGCTGGGTTGTTTGTTATTGCTGCAATTTTCCTTAATGAAGCAGCACTATTCACCTTGAAAAGCAAACAGTCTCATCCTAAGTGGTACAGTGCAGAGATTACAAGGAAGAGAGATAAGATGTTACACAAGGAAGAGAGATATGATGCTACATGTGAAGGATACTTACTTTTCTTTCCATCCATATCTGCATGGATTTTCCGAGCCAGAAATCCAGTTTTATACACAGCAGCATTAGGGTCATGAGGGATGTCCAGGAATGGGTTATTAGAGTTTCCAATACGACTTACAGCCTTCGTCTGGTTCCCATTATCTTTTTCATCTGTACCATCTGAATGAGGTTTTTTTTTCTCTTCTTCATCCCTTAATGAGTAATGAAATACGAGAATGAATGAGCAACTGACCAACAAGGTTTTATTTTAGTAATTCTTGCATGCTCCTTGTCAAAACTTACCCCTCTCTTCATAGGGGACCTTATTTGAAGAGAACCCAGATGTACACTATAACGTAGACAAATTATAAGCAAAGCATCAACATCATTATAAGCAAAGTTAATCAACTTCACCAGAACAGCCTACAGGAGCTGAATTTTAAAGAAAGGCCTGGTTAACCTTTTATATTTCCAAAAGACAAGCTTTCAGAAGTGCTCTATGTCCTACAGCTTCACTTATTTTTATTTCCACTTATCTGAGTGCTGAAATAGAAAATAGCCTGCAACGTTCTCCTGAAAAACCTTTGATTTCTTCAAGTGTTCACATGTAGATGAAAAGCATTAGATTACTAGAGACCACCAGGACTTATTCCTTAACCTCACATATCATAAACAGGCTCTACTCTCTTTTCTTCAATTTCCTCCATAGACTAGCATAAAAGCATTAACTTAAAAATAAAAACTACAGTAGGTGAATTGCCTTATCTGTATCTCAGAAACAGAATGCTGCTCAAAACATTACTTATTAGTACAGTGTACTCAACACAGCCCTTGGGAATAACAAGGCGATCTATTTCAGCAAGTCACAAGCACTGCCCAGATAATGAACGCCTTCTTGCTTGTCAGCCAAGAGCGAAAAGGATAAGTTAACTTAAAAAACAAAGGATGTCCATGTTTTCAGAGAAGAATTGGTCACTGGATCTATGTGGATAGTGCATCTGGAAGAATCATAGTTAGTGTCAGATTACAGTACAGCTCAGTCTCTTTTGAAGTCCCTGCACGCTTCTTTCCAGTTGACTGACAAAGGTGCATCAAGTAGGCTGAAAGGTTGGTAACAGAATCACAGAATCACAGAATTGCCAGGGTTGGAAGGGACCTCAAGGATCATGAATCTCCAACCCCCCTGCCACACGCAGGGCCACCAACCATTCCACCTAATGCTAGACCAGACTGCCCATGGCCCCATCCAATCTGGCTTTGAACACCTCCAGGGATGGGGCATCCACAACCTCTCTGGGAAGCCTGTTCCAGTACCTCACCACTCTCTCCGTAAAGAATTTCCCCCTGACGTCCAACCTAAATCTCCCTTCCCTCAGCTTAAAACCATTTCCCCTTGTCCTGCTGTCACTCACCCTTTCAAAGAGTTGATTCCCCTCCTGTTTGTAGGCTCCCTTTAGGTACTGAAAGGCTGCAATGAGGTCACCCCGCAGCCTTCTTTTCTCCAGGCTGAACAAGCCCAGCTCTTTCAGCCTGTCCTCATAGGGGAGATGCTCCAGTCCCCTGATCATCTTTGTGGCCCTCCTCTGGACCCTCCAACAGCTCCCTGTCCCTCCAACAGCTCCCTGTCTTTCTTGTACTGGGGGCTCCAGACCTGGACGCAGTACTCCAGATGGGGCCTCACAAGAGCAGAGTAGAGAGGGACAATCACCTCCCTGTCCCTGCTGGCCACCCCTCTTTTGATGGGGCCCAGGATACCATTTGCCTTCCGAGCCACAAGGGCACACTGCTGGCTCATGTTAAGTTTTTCGTCTATCAAGACCCCCAGGTCCTTCTCCACAGGGCTGCTCTCAAGGACCGCTCCTTCCAGTCTGTAGGGATGCCTGGGATTCCTCCGGCCCACAGGCAAAACTCTGCACTTTGCCATGTTGAACCTCATCAGGTTCACCCGGGCCCACCTTTCTAGCCTCTCGAGGTCCCTCTGAATGGCATCCCGTCCTTCAACCGTGTCAACCACACTGAGGGATATGGCAGCAATGTTTTTCCTAAATCCAGCATCTGACAAAAAAAGTCATTAACACTTGAGTGCAATGATAGCTACTTGAGGGGGAAAGTGAAAAGTTGCATTTCACTGGACCCAAATGATTAGCACAGATGGCAAACTACATAACCCAAAGCAGAACTTCCAAACATACATATGTTCACAGTTGTGCATCAGACAAGGATTAGCAAGGCATGCATCAGTCTCCTTCTGGGACATGCTGCACCCACATCTGCAAACAGCCACACAAAGAAACATCCTCCAAGACACTGCAGGTTACAGAGGTCATCTGTGACATCCCAACCCTCGCTGAAGTGGTTTCCTAGGGAATTTAATCTGAAGTGATACCTAGGTAATGGGCTGTTACAATAACAAGGAAAACAAATCCATAGGCACAGGTGAGATCTATCAGCAGCATGGACATGTGTGCTACACATTCAGCCAGAGAACAACAGAAAGGTCCTAAATATTTGATTCAGTTGTAGAGATGTAGGTGGTGGTGCACAATATATAATCATATGTTGGCTGGCAAAATCTTCTGATTAGTAAGGGGAATAAAACTTTTATTGGAAAACCAGATTCCTGCAAGGGATACCAGTTCTTCTGTCTTCTAGCCTATCAATACACATGTTCCTACTCCAGAACAGAGAAAGATGCAATTCTGTTGGTCAAAGCAATAAGAACTTCTTTGTGCAAACCCTGTCCCAAGTTAAAAAAAATCTACAAATTCCTGACAATTTTGACTATCCCTACCTTTCTTTTCCTGTTCCTATTGCTCTGACTAGCTGGTGGCAAGGCCAGACCACTGTAACAAATTCTTCTTATATCTGTCCATTTCAGGAGTGCATTCTCTCAACACAAGTCTCTGTGTACTTCATAGTGCCTAATCTAGACTAAAATCTTCCATAGGGCACTAGCACTCAGGCTTGTGAATTCTGGGATCTCAGATAAGGATAAAGTGGATTTCTCCTTGTCAGCTTACAATTTTTTGGAATGCACTATCTTCTCTGGGTCCATGGGAGCACACTGTCATATAGATCCTATCCTGTGGGAATGTGCTTGCACCCCTATGCAAGCAACTACAGGAGTTGTGACCAGTAGGGATCCTAGCCAGTGCTATTGCTGGGAGCGCTCTCAAAGTCAGCATCTAGGGCAGCTAATAAGCAGGAATTCTTTATAAGACGATTGAAGATGGAGACAAGGATAAAATAGTATCTACTGACTACTGGACAGGGAATAGGCCTTAAAATGGTCCTTCAAACTGTCACTGAAAATGGGACATCTTTGAGACTCAGAAGCCTATCTATCACACACCTGAGCGCTGGATGTTCTGATTGCTTGGAGGTCAAGACACATAAGTAAGTCTGTAAGGTGCAGTGAAGGGAACCAGAGAGTTAGAGGGACTCATTACAGAGGACATGAAAGAATGGAAGAATAGCTGATTAGCCTCTCTCTCTCCCTGATCTTGAATACTAATAGCAGTAGAAATAAAACAGTGGGCTCCGGGACTCATTTCTTCAAATGTTTCATGTTACTTCAGTGGTTAAGCATAAGAAGAAAGCAGAACTGGGAGGGGTTTCAAAGCAGTAGTACTGTTCAGGTAATGTATTCGGTCATATACCTTCAAAAATCAGAATAGGACTGGTCAAGAATGGAGTCAACTGGGGACTGATACAAGCATGTACCCTTACATAATCTAGTCAGCAAAAAAGGTGATAAATAGGTGCAAAAATCACACAGACTGATAGGGGTTGGAAAGGACCTCTGGAGATCACTGAGTGAGTACAACCCCCCCACAAGCAGGTTCTCCAAAGTAGGTTACTCAGGAAACCATCCATGTGAGTTTTGAATACCTCCAGAGACAGAGACTCCACAACCTCCATGTGCAGTCTGTTACAGTACTCTGTCACCCTCACAATAAATAGGTCTTCTCATATTCATATGGAACTTCCTATATTCCAGTCTGTGCCTGTTGCACCTTGTCCTACTGCTGGGCACCACCGAAAAGAGATAGTCCCCATCTTCTGACTCCTGCCCTTCAGATATTTTAAGTGTTGATAAGATCCCTTTCACAGCCTTCTCCAGGCTAAAGAGTCCCAGATTTCTCAGCCTTTTCTTATACAGGAGATGCTCCAGGCCCTAATCATCTTTGTAGCCCTCTGCTGAACTCTCTCCAGTAGCTCCCCTTCTTTTTTTACTGGGGAGTGCCCAGAAATGGATACAGTACTCCACATGTGGCCTCCCCAGGGCAAAGCAGACCTGGAGTGTCTCCCCTCTCAACCTGACAACCACACGCTTTTTAATAATACCATAGTCGTTCTTGGCCACAATGGCACACTGCTGGCTCACAGCCAAACTGCTGTTCACCAGGACACTCAGGTCCTTCTCTGCAGAGCTCTATTCCAGCAGGTCAGTCTCTAGCCTGTACTGGTGCATGCAGTTATTCCTCTACACTTGCTCTTGTCGAACCTCATCAGGCTCCTCCCCACTCAACTCACTAGTCTGCTCAGTCTTGCAGGATGATAGCACAGCCTTCTGATCCATCAGCTACTGCTCCCTGTTTTGTATCATCAACAAACTTACTGAGAACAGACTCTATCTCTTTGCCCCAGTCACTAATGAAAATGTTGAACAAGACTAGATTCAGTACCAATCCCTGAGGAACATGCTAGCTACAGGCTTCCAACTAGACCCTGTACCACTGATCACAACCCTTTGAGCTCTGCCAGGCAGATAGTTCTCAATCCACCTCACTGCCTACTCATCTATACCACACTTCCTAAACTTATCTACAAGGATGTTGTGAGAGACAGCGTCAAAAACCTTGCTGAAATTGAGGTACAATACATCCACTGTTCTACCCTCACATAATCATCTGGTGATGACATTGTAGAAAGCTACCAGGTTGGTCAAACATGATTTCTGCTTGGTGAATGTTAACTACTCCTGATCATTTCTTCTTCCACTTGCTTGGAGATGACATCCAGAATAAGCTGTATCATTACCAGTAAGCTGTGAAGAAATCAAGCCAATTAGCCTGTAGTTTCCCTGGTTCTCTTTCTTGTCTTTTTGGAAAACTGGAGTGACACTGGCTGTCCTCCACTTCTGAGGCACCTCTCCCATTCTCTATGACTTTTCAAAGATTATATGTAATGGCTCAGCAATCTCTTCTGC